AACTCTGGAAAAGTGTCTGTCAACGAAGCCGTTGTATTTCACGTACAGTGTATATCGTAAGAGTTTACGGTCAGATCACCAACTTTTGGCAACTGAATCGCCAACCATCGGTGATGGGATTAGTGAACGAGCATCGGTTCAAAAAAAGCTTTTCGTGTGCACGTTATGATGGCAAGGGTCAACATTGTCTTAATCCCTTCATTTGGTTGTTTAAAAAAGAGAACCAATGTTGACAGGCTCAAGTTCGTATCAAATGCCTCAAATTCAAATTGGCAGCTTTGGACTCAGGGACTGAACATACTTAATTTTGTGCTCGATCTCGAATTGGATATCTATTTTATGTATATTTGGTCGAAGATTCCGAATCCGAGGTTTAAAATTCAAAGGGACGCCTCAAATCCAAGATAATCGTCAAAATTGAAATCGCCAATTGTTACCCCAGACACTGCCCGGCAAAATTTGAAGACTCCGTTGAAAAAACGTTTTTTTACATTAAGAGAAAAATTTTAGGACTAATAAAATGTCCCGGCTCGGAAGTGAGTATCTAAATCGTGATTTTGTAATGAGTTTGTAACTACTTTCAGGTTTACGATAGGAACACGTCAACTTCATTGCTTGACATTTTTTAAAAAATTTCTTAAACAAAGCGGTAATATCACGGGAATTTTTGAGGAATTTAGTGAATTGAAACATTGAAATTTAGTCAATTGAAAGATAAAGTCGGAATTTAGGAATATTTACATCACCTCTCACTCAAACTAATAGGCGCATGAGCTAGAATACCCATTTACTTCAAAGGTTATGCAATGAGAGATCTATACAGGGATCGATATACTTGTACTGCCGTGCTAAGCAAGAACGCCGTAACTCCATCAAGATTTTCCCTCGTTTTTTGGAACTTAACACTTTATAACATAAAAACTATCTTACCCATGCACCTCAAATTTTTAAGTTAAGTTCTTGATAGTATTAGCGAAGGAATTTTGTAAAACTATTGTCCCAAGGTACACAAGTTTTTCTGTTACGATACGTTGTTTCTAAAAAATGTAAAATGGCGTTTACGGCGTTTTTGCGTTGCACGGCAGTGTAGCTTACTTTTTCACTTAGTCACTCAGAGGTTTTTAACCGAGACTCCGTGTTCTCCACTGAGAGAATGAGGCGAATTTTGACCCGTAAAGATCATGAGCACTGCGTGTGCGGCGCGGCGGCAGTCGAAGATGACATTGGGCAGGAAAAATTGTGCCAATTAATTAATAAAACAACAAATCATGACCCCGGGACGCTTCGCGTCTGGCCGAGTTTCCAGACCCCCGAATCCCCACTCGCATTCCCGGGAGCCCCCTCGATTCTCGTTTTTTTTTTTTTTTTTTTTTTCATCACGATGATCTTGACTTAGTCGAAGCGAACATGCGAGTTTTGTCAATGTCATCGGGTGAAACCGTCTCACTGTTTCCCTCCCACTCCTATCGGGAAGCGGTGGCGATTCTGGTTCATTTGCAACCCTGTTTTTACCCTCCATTTAAATGTATTTAAAACAATCGATTCAAAGTGAGGAAATCTGTCTCACCTGCGGGCCGATTATTGAAATTTATAGACAAAGCTATAGACAAAGAAGACATGAGAAGTATAGAGCGATCCTATTAGTTGAAATGGGTGATTCTTATAGACTAAGGGGGTAAATGATGGACTAACTATCGGGTCTCTCGTGGGTTGCCGTTAGTTAGTCTATCGCCTAAGTCCTTTGTCCATTGCAACCACCCGCTTCCACCAATAGGATCCCTCCATATCCTTTTTGTCTTCTTTGTCTATTGCTTTGTCTATCAATTTCAATAATCAGCTTGCTGGATTTAAATGAAGGGAAAACAAATTTGTCAATATTGTAAAATAGTAACCGTCGGGAGCGTATGCATATTCTGCCGTGCTAAGGAAAAACGCCGTATGCGCCTTCAGGCGTTGCCAAATTCCCTCTGGCAAATCACGAATATTCAGGAAAGTTTTTGAATATTTTCCTGCCAATTTTCTAGATAACTCTGTTCGTAATTTGATCTAAAGTGTTTGAAAATTTCAAGAATAAATATTTATGATTTTCCTCAGAAATAAACATTTGATATGAGAAAATTTGGCAACTCTCGAATGTTCATACGACGTTCTTCCTTAGCACAGCAGTAATCGGTTCTCGCTACTGCAATCTTCCGAAACGAAAACTCAGTTACTGTATCACAAATTATTTTAATTTCTTCTGAAAAAAAAAAAACGACCGGTTAAAAAAAAACTGGCTACCTTTCATCCTATAAATTTTACAGTGACTGTGACGTAGAATGGAGCCGTTACACTGGTAACCTACAACTGTAGAGTGAACTTGCTCATGTAAACTTTTGTGAGCACTGGTTTCGCGACACTGTCACTGGTTTTTTTTTTTTTTTTTTTTTTTTTTTTTTTTTTTTTTTTNTTTTTTTTTTTTCCTTCGTCTAAATTAACTCCCAGCGCGAGGCCAAGATGTGACTACATTTTTCAAACGAAGAACCATTGTTTCTGGCCTATTTTGGAGATAAAATTCATGTCATCATTTTCTCTTTGCAGAAAAGTGATTTTATGGGGATCCTACAGATATATTAGTTCCTCATTGTAAGAAGTCCAATTGAAATGTGACCGATCATCGTTATTGTGGCGAATCCCGTTTGATTTCATTTGGAAATGGAAACGTGCCCTCTCTAGCAGTATGAAACCTTACGCTACTGACCTCGTGAGGCGGAAAGGCGTTCTCAGTAAATATTATGTAAGCAACTTTTTTATTTAAAATTCAAGATGTGCAAATTTTACACTCGAAACCCGAAGACACGGGGTTAGAGATGGCACTCCTGTCACACACCATTCGACTCGGAAGAGGTTTAAAGCGTTCTCGGGTAAGTTTGCAGTGGCATTACCTAAATAGCTATGCCAATACGCCCAAAGTCTAATGTAGTGATCTTCTGTTACAGAATTGGAGCCAAGTTTTCCGTACAGAGATGTTCAAATCAAATGGAATGTTGACGTCAAACAGTTCTACGAACTCCAGTCTGAAATCGGCAGGTTAGTGACCGTTTCTTAGTACATTTTGAGTTTTTATTTATTTATTTACTTTTAAATTTACCCAGAGGTTATCGGGCAACTGACACCGCAACATCTCTTCGTCAACGCCCTGCCGCCAACCCTTTACGGGACGTCCCCGTCGCCTCTTCCCAGGTGGAACCCAAGGCATATGTGGCGTTTGGGTGTCGTAGAACACTGAAAAAAAAGTAGTTAGCGTTGAGAACTAATTTGGTTGGTTCTCGCCAAGTAGAATCAAAATTAGGCTTCAGAACTAATTTATTGTACTGAAGCACCAATCAATTCGCTTCATACGCTGACTTGACTTTACTAGAGCGCGAACCAGAATTGGAAAACAGCACTAGCTGTAAAATTAGCGCTGT